ACTGACTTTAACCCAATGTTAGCCTTGCCTTACTGACTTTAACCCAATGTTAGCCTCGCCTTGCTGACTTTAACCCAATGTTAGCCTCGCCTTACTGACTTTAACTCAATATTAGCCTCGCCTTACTGACTTTAACCCAATGTTAGCCTCGCCTTACTGACTTTAACTCAATATTAGCCTCGCCTTACTGACTTTAACCCAATGTTAGCCTCGCCTTACTGACTTTAACTCAATATTAGCCTCGCTTACTGACTTTAACCCAATGTTAGCCTCGCCTTTCTGACTTTAATCCAATGTTAGCCTCGCCTTACTGACTTTAACCCAATGTTAGCCTCGCCTTTCTGACTTTAATCCAATGTTAGCCTCGCCTTACTGACTTTAACTCAATATTAGCCTTGACTTACTGATTTTAACCTAATGTTAACCTTGCCTTTCTGACTTTAATCCAATGTTAGCCTCGCCTTTCTGACTTTAATCCAATGTTAGCCTCGCCTTATTGACTTTGACCCAAGTTAGCCCAGCCCTATCAACTTTAACCCAATGTTAGCCTCGCCTTACTGACTAACCCAATGTTAGCCTCACCTTACTGACTTAAACCCAACGTTAGCTACACCTTACTTAATCTGATTTAACATTGGCCCCACGTACTGACTCTGACACAGACCAAGTAATACCATGATGCACAGCAGCAAAAAGGCATGAAATGTTTTCTAAAGATTTAGGTAAAAGATTATGACATTTGAATTAACAAAACATGAATTTATTATGTATTACTAATGATGAATTTATTTTACATTTTAGTTATTAATTAGACATAGAATTGTGGCACATTAGTCCTTCTTTATAAATCATTACAATAATTTTTAAAACAACTTTTTGAATCATTAAACAAATGTGACAAAAACAGACTTCTGACTCAAAGGCAGCAGAAAAATACAATCAGTGACAGAAAAAAATAAATCAACTTCTTCTCAAACTGAATAAACTTGAATTTATCTWTGTGTTGATCATCACACCAAAGAGCCATACTCTCATTTCTAAAGCGTCCTAGTTTCTGAGATTATTGCAGCTTAAAATGAGTGAAATTTAAAAAAATACAAACTATATTTTAAAAAAGGAACCGTGTGATGGAAGACACAGATGTTTCAGTGAAGACTGGTGTAGAACTTGAACTTTGTCAACATTTCACACAGATCAAAAACTCTTGAAAAAATGTTTAAAAGAAGATGTTCATGCTGCAAAGCAGGTGACCCTGAAAGGGTCGTGCTTATGTGGTTTTCACGCTGCCATCAGATCTTTGTTGTGTGATTAAACAGATTTTTGTATCAATACAAACAATCTTTTAACAGAGAGACTGGTCTTTCTCATTTCCTCTGAAGCCAAACATCGGACYTATGACCCCTCCTCACAGATCAAACTAACTTTTCAACTGTCGTTTCTTAACTAAWCTTCCTACTAAATTGTGATTGTTTCTGATTTTTATAACAAAGCTTAAGCTCCTTCTGAAGAAGGYGACTGCTCTGAGCTGTCGTTTATGGCTTATAGGCAGCTGGTTTTGGTCCATTCTACATCAGTTTAATTGCTGTGCTGCCGTTCGTTGAGCTGCACATATTTGGGTGTCAGCTTTAAAGGTTCCCGTCAAAGCTAAACCRGCAGTTTGAGTTAAGTTTTAAATAAAACCTGAGTATAAACAGCTTGATTTATGACTTCCTCCGAGGACTAGACCTGGATGGTGCCACAGTTTGAATAAACAGTGGAGAACAGACTAAATGAACTTATCGAGGATGAACAGCATTGAGCTGAAGTCTTCACCAACACCGCCATTTCTTTTACTGGGGTCTGAGTCTATAGTTCTGGAGAACTAGTTGCATCTTTTTTATCCCTATTATCATTTATCTCAATATCGACTCTGACAAACAAAATGGCTTAAAACTTGCTGCTGAATAGTCTTATTTCTGGTCATTTGTTTTTTGGTAAGTTAATTTTTTTTTTTTTTTGGAAAGCGGCCTCACCAAGCAGGAAATGGGCTAACAACCTAAAAGCTCAGTAGTAAAACTGAAAACTGGAACCATGACAGATTTAGTCCTGAAATTAAGGGAATCTGTCTTTAAATTATYTTATATATTTCAACCCACCTTAACAACCTTGAATTCTTCTCATTCTTCTGGAAAATTAATTGTAGCCCCATCCCACATACTTTAAATAAACACTAGCCCTGCCCCATATACTTTGACTAAACATTAGCCCAACCTCATATACTTTGACCCCATGTTAGCCCTACTTCATATACTGTATTTTGACCCAATGTTAGCCCAACCTCATRTACTATGACCCAATGTTRGCCCAACCCCATATACTTTAACCCAATGTTTGCTACTCTCCATGTATTATAACCCTTAGCCCCACCTCGTACTGTATACTTTGACCCAACGTTAGCTTCACCCCATATACTATAACCCAATTTTAGCCCAACCCATATACTTTAACCCAATGTTAGCCCAAACCCATATAC